AGAGGGTGAGGAGAGGTGCTGGGGCATGTGGATCAGGGCAGGGTGGCTGGGAGAGGAGGCTTGTGCTCAGGAGGCTGGAGGGCAGAAATGGGCGTGAGGACTGGTTGGGCTTTAGAGGGAAGAACAAGTCCCAGTCTGAAGCTGGGAGCTGCTCTTTGCACAAGGGGAACTGACTATGAGGGTATGGCCAGAGGATGCTCCGGGTGCAAGATGACCCCATGGAAGTGGAGTTGTAAAATGCAAGTGAACAACCAGCAAGTACCAGTCAGGATAAATGGGATAAATCCAGATCTGCTTCCCCAAAGCACCAGCTCTGTAGGGTCCCCATGTCCTGCTGGGCTTGCTGAAAATAAAACCACAGCCATACAGCCCCTTCAAGACCCCTGAGGCTTTGCCACAGATCTCTCCAGTCCCTACTCATGACCCTAATGTACAGGTGTCGACAGACAGGGGACACATGGAATTCCACGCATGGCACATCTCTGGGCACCTCAGGTTGGGCCAGGGTGAATGGCAGATGTGGTGACAGCTGAGACCCTTCCCTCCATGTCTGCCCCTCCATCACCAATCCTCTGCTGTCCCAGCACCACTCTGGGCATCATCATCACCTCCTGAAACACAAACGCCACGCTCACCCACCCTGCTCGCCTTGTTGGGCATTGGGGATGCTGTGCAGGTGGGATGCCTCCAGGGACAGGAGAACGCTGGGGCTTCTGCACCGAGGCAGGGGAGGGATCCAGCAGCAGGGACCATATTCTCCCTGCAGCAGTCCTGCTCTCCACGTGACCTGTAAGAGCACAAGGATGGAGGCCACCCTTGAGGGATCCAGGCACTGACACCCCACTGCCTCCCATGTCAGAGCAGAGAGGAGTGCTGGGGGCAAGGGACATTGCTGTTCTGGGCCCTGACCCCTCCTGCCCCACCAGGGGAGGGAGGGAAGATGGTGAAGGACACAGCTGTGGCCCTATGGGACCCACCTCAGAGCCATTTCCTTCAGTGCTGCTTCCCCCCATCCCCTTCTGGGCTTTGCCCTCCAGGGACTGCCAGGTTCTCCTTTGCCTATGGCAGATAGCAGTGGAGGTGGCTGCCCTGGAGTCCTGGTCCTGCTTTGACACCAAACCATCCCTGGGTGGGGGTCTGCCCCCAGCCTGGACACCCTCTTCCCTCAAAGCCAGGCCCTGCTGCAAGTCCTCCACGGCCCCAGTAGTCCCTTGTAGGACCCCATGGCTCCCCCATGCTCTGCATCCCAGGCCAGCCTGATGTATCAAGTGCAGAGCTAGTGGTGCAACATGGGGTGAGCATGGCTGAAGAGCAATGCAGGGCCCCTTGCCTTGCACTCCTGGCCAGAGCAGCTCCTGGCTTTTTCCTCACTGCTGCACCCTTCTGTGGACCCAACCTTTGTCCCTCAGGAGGAGCAGGGTGGCAACATCATTTTCCAAGCTGGGGTGCAGGGATGGCCAGAATTAGCGTGCACAAAAGCACATTTGTGTGCACCTCTGGGACCTCACTGCTCTGCAGAGGCCAGCAAGGTATTTGCATGCCCTTTACCTGCATGGGTGGACACCGATGCGTAAACAGGGATGTTCACTCTGCACGTGTGGGTGCACATCCTGCCTGTGTGCTCCTGCAGGCGGGCAGGCAGAGGTGCACGTGCCATGCCCAGGCAGGCAGCAGCCACGTGGGTTGGTGCAACGAGGCATGGGGGGAAAGTTGCTGCAGGAGTGGCACTGAGAGCTGAGAAGTGCCCTGGGTCAAACAGTGTGTTCCTGCTTTGTCTACTCCTGGTCTCCCTCATGTCTACTATACCTCCACCGGCTCATGCCTCATTTTCCACCAGCACTTTGTCTTTCGTGCTGTGGGTCTCCACTGGGCTGTGGCCTCCCACGCTGTCTCTTCCCAAATGCACCTCCGTTGTCATGTCTCAGCCTGCTGGTGCTTCAGCAGAGGGGAGGAACAGGAGCCATGCTGGCCAGGTGGGAGTTTGCTGGGGTCCATTTGTGCACCATCAGATGCATGTAGGGGTCAGGAGGTCTCAGCAAGTCCAGATTTTTCTGCCCCTAGGAGCCTGGGCTATGGCACATCCCTGCACCACATCTTTGCTTCCCTCCTGTGTTCCCTCCATCCTGGATGAGTCCCCAGTGCCAGGACAGTCCTTTTAGTCTCCCTCTGCTTTCTGAAAAAGGAAAAGCCAAAGGGGGTCAGATGAGGTTCCCAGGGGTACTGTCCTGGGTGTCTTTCTTGGTCCCAGCCAGCACAGACACACACATGGCCAGTAGAGCCAAGCCAGTGGCATGGGGAGGTCCATGAGTGGCAGAGGGAAAGTGTTGGAGGGTTTTCTGGGGTACTTCTCTGAGCATGAGTACCTTGTTGTGTTGCTTCAGAGGCAGAGGATACGGTGCGTCTCAATATCTCAGTTTCCTCCTTTTACCCCCGTTCATGGTCTTACTGAGGCACAGGACTCACTAGGTCCCAGGGCAACCAAACAAGGTCATTTTGCAAAGGGAATGCATCTGCATCCTTCTCTGCAGCTTTCAGGGGGGTTTCATGACCAAGGCAGACCCTGGCAGAAGGAGGAAGGGACTTACTGCTGAGAGGATCCCAAATCTTTTGAAATGACCATCAAATCTCTTAAATCACACTGGGCCACAGATCACTAAAATGGACAGCACACTGGGAGCTCTTGGCCTCCATAAAAGCTTTTTTTCCACACCACTTTTGCAGCTTAAGCTTGTTTCTTGGACAAAATCATATTTTGGTGAAAGATTTCCATTCCCTTTGGGGAAAAAGGGCCAAAATCCAGCTCCCAATGGCCAGTGCTGCCCTCTGGTCTCCTGCTCACTGTGCTCCGTGCAGAGGAGCAGGATGTGCCTGTGGTGCCTCTCAGGTACAGCGAAGGCCTCTGGACAGCTCAGCTCTGGGGATCGGAGCCCCGTTTTCCCTGCACCTTTGGGTGCTGCTAGGTTTTGTGGATGTTCACTGGGCCCTGCAAAGGTCTGTGGAGGTCCAGCTGTCTCCATCCTCCCTATCACAGGTGCCCAGCAGCTGGGCAGGTTGGGAGTGAGTGTGGGTGCACAGATATCACCAACACATGCCCAATGACTTGCGTGTGCTGGAGGCTCAGTGGTATCTGCCTCAATGCCATGCTGAACTTGTCCCTTGCTTGTCCCAGTGCCAGAGGAACAGGGTGGTGAGGAGGCAGCAGGTCTGTGCAGGGTCAGGCCAGCAAAAGGCAGGAAGGGCGGCCCCAGCTGTTTGCATCTTGGCTGCATCCTCAGGGACCCCTTGAGCTCAAAGCCACCCAGATGGGAGGGGCGCCCACTACACTAAGAGGGCAGATACAGTCCCAGCCTCAGCCTTGCTGAGGAAGGAAGCTTCTGCATTGTCTGACAGGCTGATACTTCAGGAAAGAATCCTCTTTGTTAACTCTGGTCCCTAATGAGGGCAAGTTTTGCGGCCACCTTAAGTACCGCACTGCCAGTCATCTTAGGAACTCTCCTCAGTCAGAAGATGAAGCATGGGAGGGAAGGGCAGTGCTGGGGATTGTTTGTCCGTGGTAGGACTGTGTCTAGGCCCTTACAGCCAAATTCTTTCATCCTGCATAGGACAGGGAGCAATTCTTCAGTCTATCCTCAGGCCTGATACAGAGTCCAGTCTAGGTCTGCAGAGTCCGTGGCACCCCAGGATCTGCTCATGAGACACAGATGCTGGTGGCCGTTGTCTCCAGGATAAGGTTGCTCTGCTGTTGGCCAAGCCCAGCACTTTGCTCTGGAGCTTGGGCCCTCTGATCTCTCAGCTCTTGGGTAAAAGGTGGCACTGACAGGATCTCCCATAGGCCACCAGTGAAGATTTTGTTCTGGCACCCTGGCGCGCCCTTGCACACATGTTCCTGCAAACACACAGACATGCACCTCTCCAGCTTGGTGACCAGCAGTGCTGGCACTGCACATCCTAGGGACAGCCCTGGTCACCTCAGTGAGCTGGACTGGAGGTGGCCCAGGGTGGGGGACTCCCCAGGGCAGCAGAGAAGACCCAGTGGAGCAGCCAGGGGGAGAAGGTGTTTGGGATGCGGTGTCCATGGTGGCTGGTGGGGGGACAGCAGGAGCTGCTGCACTGCAGTGGGGTGGGGGCAGAAAAGGAAGGAAGCATGCAGTGTCTCTGCACAGAGCCCGGGCAATAACAAACAGGAAGAGTGGCAGGGCTGTGGCAGGCAGCAGTGGCCATCGGCAGGAAGGGTGTGCAGTGCCCCAAGGGCAGACCTATCCTACCTGAGCCAGACCCTCCAGGGACCTTCCTCCCTAAATATGCCCCCTTTCCTACCCTGCTGGGGAGGGGGAGCCCACATGTCTTCCCCCAAGGTGCCAAGTGATGATCCCAGGTGCAGAGGGGTGGCAGGTGGCACCCACAGGGACGTGGGTTAGGGGGACGGTGGGGTGTCACGAGGAGCACACTGTGCATGGCCGAGCATTGAGGGTGGGAGGTGCAGAGCCCTGGCTCACCCCGCAGTGGGATGGGGAATGGCTGGTGCACAGCCTGGGCAAGGGGATACAGCTAGGGTGGCAGGGACATGAGGACTCATCCTGGCTCCCTGTGGGGCAGGTGGGGTCTGGTGTCCCCAGAGCAGCACCACTGCACCACGTGAAGCATCCCACCTCAACCGTCCTGCCAGTAGCCCCAGCCCCATGGCCAGGTCTCGCCTGTCCCTCCATGCCCCGTGGGCTGGCACTGCACTGGCCACGGCCGGTCACAGAAAGCACCGAGAACATGCCACCAGCCCTGCCAGAGGTGCCCACGGAGGCACCCCAGGATTTTGGGGGAGGCAGGGGTTTGCTGGTGGGGAGCAGGGCTGGGGCTGCAGGCAGCCCAGCGGAGGAGCTGAGCTGCGGCGATGTGGCCGGTATGTGTGTGGGCGGCAGGCAGGGTGGGGGAGAAGGAGGGAGAGGAAGCGGCAGAGGCAGCAGCTCCTTTGATAAGCAGCTTCCTGAACACTTTCAAACCGTGGTGTTAGACCGACACGCGCGGCGCCTGCGGGCCTGTGCCAGGACCGACGGAGCCGACGCCGCGGGGCAGCAGGTAGGCAGCTCCCCAGCCCACCCATGCCGCCCGCTGGAGAGGGGACCCCCACCAGGCAGTGCTGGGCCTTGGCACCCACAGGCGGTGGGCATGTGCTCGCTGCCGGGCAGCTCTGGGCTGGGCTGGGATGCTGGGCAGAGTGATGGGGACACTCTCCCTGCAGGTGCCGGCAGCTGGGGCTCTTCCCAGGGCCCTCCTGCCTGCCAGGGGCTTGGTTGTGGCATCTCCCAGGTGTTTCCTGGTTGGTGTGTGAGGGACGTCTGCTGGGTTGGAGCCTGTTGCTGTCTCTGGTCAGGATCTGTCCTGGTGCTGTGGCTCCTGGGGAGAAGATGCTCTTGCCCTGCCTGGCTGGGGGACACCCCGGCAGTACAGAGCCCCCAGGCTGCCCTGCATGGGCCATGGAGATAGTGTGCATGGCAGCGGTGGCATTGCCACCCCAGCAATGCAGCTCGGTAGCGGGGAGTCATGAGGAACAGCTCCTGCCCTAGCCACATTCCCAAACAGCACAGCCACAGTGTGGACCTGGTACTCTGCAGGACCTCCCTGAGCAGATGGTGTACCTGGAATCCCACTCTTTGCCCACCAAGAGCTCTGACTCTGCAGCCTGCCCTGTCCCTTTGGGTCTGTCTTCTCCTCATGGAGGGAGCTGGGGACGAGAAGGAGCCTCACGATCCCAGGGTGCTGCCTGCACCATGAGGAGCTCTGCCCAGAGGTGAACCAGCATCACCTGCATCTCCCTGTCCCTGCCAGGGGCTGTCCCGGGGCTGGTGGTGGTGGAGCCCTGGCACCCTCCTCCATCTAGGCTACCTCATCGCCTCTTGCTCAACCACGGAGATAAAGCAGTTTCCTCTTGACAGTTGCTGAGACCTGTGGGATGGAGGAGGCTGTCCCAGGGTCATCCCTCCCTTACCAGAGCCATGAGGCTGTTGAGGGTGCCTGGCTCCGTATGTCCCAACATCAGGAGCTGGCCAGGCTCCCTGTGGTGCCTACAACCCACCTCATCTCACCTGCCAAATGCTGCTGTGCTCATGCAGGTCCCAGCTCTCCTTCCTCCCCACCATGTCCCCAGGCTGAAGCAGGCATACAGGGGAAGGGCTGGAAACACATGGCAGCATGTGCTTCCATGGAGGTGGAGAGCATTTTTGGCTCCCCCAAAACCAGACCATGCTCCGCCAACACAGGGCACGGGTGTCCTCTGCTCGGTGCAAGCAGGTGGCTGTTGGTGCCATGCCCAGGGTCACCAGTGGGTGCCTGTGTGGGCTGCAGTGCTGCGGGCATCCCGGAGGTTGAACATGCTGGGAGCTCTCCCAGTGCCACTTGCCTGGATGCAGGGGCTGGGGGCCCTAGTTCCAGGGCAGCTGAAGACTTAAAACCTGTCCCTTGCTTAGGGACCATCCATTGGGGAGTGCAGGTGTGTCCACCCAGCCTCATGGTATGTCTCAGATCTGCCTTTTCTTTTCCAGCTGCTTCTACTCCAATGGCTCCTTGATTCCCCAGGAGCTGAGGGCCCCCTGTGTCCACTCCCTGTGCTTCATGACGAGGGCTTTGTGGCTGCCGCAGCATGGTACAAGCCTGCTTGGTGTGCTCCAGAGTTCATAACGGCAGCCTGCCAGCCCGGGCAGCCGGGGCAGACATGGACAAGACAGACAAGCCCAGTCCCTCTGCCAAGAAGCATGTGCGTCTTCAGGAGAGGTAAGCATGGCTGATGGGGTGGGCTGCCCATCTCAGCCCAGACTGTGAGTGCCCATGGCACTGCTCAGCCCCAGGGCTTGGGCTCCCCCAAACTTCCTTCTCCCAGCCCAGCCCTGCCAGCCCTCTGCCTGATGACTTGTGCAGATGCCAGGTCTGAGTGTGGAAGCAGCCCTGACCGCCCCCCAGCCCAGCCCGGGCCAAATCTAGACACCACCCTTTGGGGCCTTTCTGGCAAATGACCAGCTAATTCCTTGTTCCTCAACCCCCCCATCTTCTGGGGTCTCTACCTGCCCCCTTTCTTCATCCTCTGTTATTCTCTGCCTGGCTTTTGCTTGGTGTGGGGTGGTTTTAACTGATGATATGGCGGGATGGGCTGTCCCCCTGTCCCAAGGTGGCAGAGGGTCAGTCAGGGACCCTTTTGCCTCACAGAAGGGGGTCCAACGTGTCGCTGATGCTGGACATGAGCTCGCTGGGGAGTGTGGAGCCCATCCAGCCTGTCTGCACACCACGGGACATCACACTGAAGTTCCTGAGGACATCCAGCCACGTGCTGAGGAGAGAGGAGCTCCAGCAACATGCCCAGAGCCTGACACAGCTCCAGGAGGAGTTTTCGGTGCGATGCTCCCTTCCCCTCTTGCTTCTCACATGAGGGACGTCAGGGGCTGATGGTGGTGGGGACTGGCAGGGGTGGACATCTCTGAGGGAGGCTCTGAGGCCAGCTGTGCCCCACAGCACCTGTGGCAGGGAAGTTGATGTGGGCAGAGATGAGGGGAGCCCTGGGTATCCCCTGGCTGCCTGCTCCCTGGTGCACACAAGTCCCATCTGTGTCCTTGGAAAGCCTGTCCTGCCCTCCCATGACAAGCTCTTCTCCCAAGGTGGCCTCTCTGGAAGGTGTCCCACCACATCTGGGGTAAGGACAGGGCTCATCCCAGGAGCTGACATCTGTGGTGAAGCTGCTAGGTCTCTGGGCCAGCCTCTCATTACCTGGGGGACCAGCTCTGCCATGACAAGGGGATGCAAGTAGCAGCAATGGGGTTTTCCTCATAGTTGTTCTTTCCCCCTGCAGAAAATCCCACCCAACTTTGTTAGTCCGGAGGAGCTGGAGATCCCTGGACGTGCCTCCAAGGACAGATACAAAACCATCCTTCCCAGTATGTGCCACTGCATTCCCTTTGCCTCACATTTGCCCAGGTGCCATGTGCAGGGAAAGGTGGGGTGTGTGTGTGCATGTGTGGGGGTGGGGGTGTGCATGGGTGTTTGTGCCTGGGAGAGAGGTGACTTGGAGCAGCCCTGGCACTGGGGTGGGCACTCCTGAGTGCTCTTAGTGCTCCTGCCGTGCTTGTTCTTGCTCCCCATGTTGCAGGACCTGCGTGCTGTGTAGCAGGGGGTGTACACTGTGTTATGGGGTGGTGTGGAGAGCTACTCCTTGGGGTGTATTCCCAGGGCTGCAGCACATGACAGCCCAGCCTGGGTTGCTCCCTATCACCATGGGGCCTTACATGTCCCAAGGGCATGTCACTAGGGGTGTAAAGGCTGAGAACATTATAGGAGGACTTGTCTGGGCTCTAGGCAGGCACTGTGGGAAGGCCTTGGGAAGTTACTGCCTGGCGGGTGAGTTACCCCACATACTCACTGTGGTACAGGCAGGCTTGGGCATGACTGGCTGTACCCTGCCATGGTAGTGAGGGTGAAGTGGGGCAAGAAGGGGCCGGAGGGAGGCTGCAGACAGCTCTGAGCATGGCATCGAGCTGGAGGACTCAGGCTCCAGGCTCTGGAGCCGAGGCAGAGAGGATGGTCGGGGTCAGGCTCTGAAAGACTGTCCCTGGGGTAATGCCTGCCATGTCTTTCAGATCCTGAGAGCCGGGTCTGTCTCAGGAGGGCAAGAAACCAGGAGGAAGACAGCTACATAAATGCCAACTACATCACGGTGAGTGTCCTCCTTGGTTGGAGGTCTCCCAGGTCCTGCAGCCCATGGCTCACAAGGCATCGGGCTGCAAACTCGGTGCTGCAGGTGCCACACTGGGACCCTCATGCCGGGGCACTGACTGTCACCCACTGTCCTGTGGCTGCCCTGGGGTAACAGTATGAACTTTTCACCCCTTTCTGAGCTGGAGAGATGTGGCTCCATCCGTGCAGGGCAGACACACTGTCCCTTTTGGTGGGAAAGTCTCATGAGGTGACTGCGCTTGGCTCCTGCTGCTTGGGCACCTGTATGGGCTCCCTTGCAGTGGCTTTCCCATCTCTTCCTCATGCACTAGTCCATTGTCTGGCAAGGTCACAGGAGGCAAGCTGCCAACGGAGCATCCCAGCCTGGTGCTGTTCAACCCTTACACATCCAGGAATTTCCTGTCAGCTCAGGGGGTTTGTTGCAATTTCCCAAGAAGAAAGCTAACAAAGGGGAGAGCATGGCTTATCTTTGACGCCCGATGGGATCCCCTTCCAGAGACTGAGAAGTCGCTAGACCCAAGGGTGTTACTTCAGGCAGCCTGATTTATGATAGTCATATCCTGTGCAAATGACCCCTTCCAGGCTGCAGTCTCGATTGTGCTGAACCATATATCACTCTAAAACAGGCTTTTGTGTCAGCCAGGTGCCAGCTTTGCCTGGTTGGTAGGCTTCTTTCTGAGCAATTAATCTCATTTCAGCATCCCTCCCCTTGGGACAGGCCAGGATGCTGGGAAACAGAGGTGGGTCAACAGCTGCTCTGGGTGCGTGGCAGTGAGGACAGTGTGGGAATGTGGGGCTCAGAAAAGAAGCCCGCAAAAGTGCCATCTAGTATGACAGACAGACCCGTGGAAGGTGGTCTGAGGGTGCAGGATGGAGCTGGAGGGCATTTAGTAGCATTTCTTTTCTGATGGTCCTTATGGGTGGGATACAACAAGGCAGCAGCAGTGTGAGCTGCCAGCACCCTGCGGTGAGGGTCAAAGTCTGACTTAGGACACAGGAGCTCCATGCCTAAAACTGTTGGGAGGCTTGCTGGCCCGAATGAGGGTATGAACATGGGCAGCAGAAGCCTACTTTTAGAGTAGTCTTCCTGAAGCAGCCTGGCAGCATGCAGCTTCACATCGGGTGACACCATCACCCTGTCCACATGCATCAGGGTGTATGTGAGCATGTAGCATCCTCTTTGTCTCACACAAGTGCTAACAAAAATGCACAAACACTGCCCATCCCTATCTCGCACACATATGCACATATATGTGCACACACCTGAGCACACGTGTGCCCACACATCCCTGTGTGGAGCTGGTATTTCCTTATTCCTTCCTTCCACTTACCTCTCCAAGGGTGTCATGGTGCAGGAATTTGTGGGAACATCAGCAAATTAGCAACCCAGCCTGCTTCTGGCATGCTTGGGAGGCACAGGGAGTCTGGAAGAGCTCTGCAGGCATTTGATCACATCAGCCCCTATCTGGGATTGAATGTTTTTTCCTGCTGACGGTATCCCATGAAATGTTTTCGAGCATGAGGAGCAGGTAGGGGGAAATTCCCAGTGTTGACACCTCCAGGTCTTACTGTAAGTCTGCTTCTGAATGGAAAATCATGTTTCCTAGGTAAAAGAAATCATCTTGAGGCATGAGAAAAGGGCTATACAAAATGTTCCGGAAAATGTTCCTGTCCCTTGGCTGGGCCGGTGCAACTTCTTGTAGAACCAAACTGTTAACATGATTGCTGGAAAGACCTGGATTAAATCACAGGGGTTTGGGTGTGTTTTTGACTGAGATCTCTTTAGATAAAGCCATAAAGCTCTGCCTGGAGTGCTGTGTACTCGCTTTTCCAAAAGCTGTGGGCGCTGTGGGTGCCTCCTCCAGCATCCCCAGGGCATCCTCAGCTTGGTCCCTGACTCCTTGCTGTATTGCCAAATGGCATCTACAGCTGGGAGCTGGAGTAACACATTACTGACCCTGGGAGAAGGCTCTTGCACACCTCTGCCTGTGCCTGCCCTCCAGCTCCTGCCTGCTGCTGCTGCATGCTTTCCTCTCTGCTGGGCCAGCAGCCCTGCCCATGAGGCCATGGTGTGAAGCAGGAGCTGAGCAGGACTCGGAGCACCTCCCAGCTTTTCTATTTCTTTGGCAATTTTATACTGGGGGAGGAAGTGACTATGGAGGCAGAGGATCCTTGGAGCTGTGAAACCGAGCCTGGGGCAGAGGCACGGCAGGGGCCTGTGCCAACCACCCCTCCAGGTGTCCCCAGAGCCAGCCTGCCTGCTGCTGGGCACTGCCACATCCCCTCCTGATCCTGGCGGGGGGCAGGACTGGTGGGACCCAGCTGGGACTATCCCCGGTCCCAGCCAGAGCAGGGCTTGATGACTTCTGCTTGTCCTTGGGGAAATGCCTGCGGTGAGGAGTGCTGCTCCCTGCCTGAGCTCTGCCTCACCAAGGCATCCATCACGCTGGCTGTTGTCACACCGATAACCTGGGGATGCTTGCAAGGAGCTTGGGTGCACATGGCTTGCTTCATGGGCTTGCTCCTGGATTGTGGGACTGGGAGGGTGGAGATGTCTGATAGTTCCTGATCAGGTCTATAAAAGCATTTCAAGGACAGGTTTAGTAGGAAACAGCCTGTGTGGCCTGGCCTCTCACCTGTAAAGGAAGAAAAGCACCATGAGGACTGGAGTGGCCTGGAGACAGGCTTCCCTCACACATCAGGGTGTCCCCCCAGCATCACTGATGTACCATGTGCTCGGCAGGGCTACGCAGGGCGGCCCCGGGAGTACATTGCCACCCAGGGACCCATGCTGAACACTGTGACTGACTTCTGGGAGATGGTGTGGCAGGAGGAGGCGCCCCTCATCGTCATGATAACCAAGCTCCAGGAGCGCAAAGAGGTACCATTGTCCCTCCCCAGGCCCAGGCACAGCACCCCAGCCAGGAGCAAAGGGTGGGGTGGGGTAATAACAACAGTAAAGGGTTATGCGAGACCAAGTATGTGGTCTGAGCACCTCCTTGCTTTCTCTGCTTTGCTCTCAGAGGGTCCCCCAATCTATCAATAAATCACACATGGAGGAGGAGAGCCCCAGGGCTGTACCCTTGGCCTCATCCAGCAAAGCTTCTCCTCCTCACGTGGCCTCTTGTGCTCTGGGCATACTTTGCCAGCTGGATAATAGGATAAAGAGATTAAAGCAACCCCTGGGAGAGGGAGCAGAAGCAATGGTCAGCAGTGTCCTCTGGCTGCGAGCAGCTCTCCTCCTGGGCTGGGAGCTCTCAGCAGTGGATCCAGGCTCGGATGAGAGCTGGCAGCACTGTGCCCTGCGTGGCAGCCACCCTCTGCCTTGGCTGGGATCCCTGGCTCCCCATCCAAGCCGCTCCTGCCTGGGGGAACTCACCCTCTCTTTCCTGGCCACGTCCTTTCTCCCTTCTCTCCCCAGCTGGCGCAGCATCACTGTGCCTGCCTCCACTGGCAGGCTGGGTCCTTCTGGGTCTGGCAGGATGTGAACTGCCCCAGACACAGCTCCCCTGGGGCTGGGGACAGCCATGCAGCCCTGGGGTCTGAAAGCCGTATGGCAGGGCATGGGAGAGGGTGCAGGGGGAGCAGATGTGGGAAGAGGGATCTGTCCCTTCCTTAGCTTCCCCTCTGTATCACTACACATCCCCCTTCCCTGTTCCCCCACACCTCCTCGAGTGATGCCTTTTCCCCAGAGCACTGAGCAAAGCATAGCTCAAACATCCAGTGGGTGCCTTGAGGCATCTCCACAGCCACAAACCCTGCCTTGTTCTTTCAGAAATGTGTCCACTACTGGCCTGAGAAGGAGGACACCTACGGCCCCTTCACCATCCGTGTGCAGGGGGTGAGCGAGTATGTGGAGTACGTGGTCCGGGATCTCTCCATCCAGGTGGGTTTGAGCTCCATCCTGGGGTCAGAGGGGGAGACCAGCAGGGCCCAGCAGTGCCCCCGACACCCCCAGGCTCTCTAGTGGGATGGCAAATGCTGCGTGACAGGAGAGCAGAGGGTTCATGTCTTGGAGAGCTGGGTCTTATGAGCCACCTGCCAGAGGAGGGTCTGCAGAGCTCCTGCCTGCCCGAGGAGGCTGAGAGGGAGCAGAACCCAGCCCTGAGGTGCAGAGGAGAGGGGATCAGCTGGGGAGACCTTCTCTACTAGCCCGTTGTTGTTTGCACTGTGCTGTTGGGCTCTGCTCCACAGGCTCTCCGTAGTCACCCTGGGCTGACACTGGCCAAAAGGATCTTGCTGGCTTTGCCTGGACTGTGTGGACAGTATTGGGACACTCTGCATCTGTTCCCATCTTCTTGGATGGGACACCTCCCAGTCCTCCTGGCCCAGGGGTCTCTCCTGGGCATCTGGCAGAGGCTCAGAGAGTGATTTGGGAGGAGAGCAGATGAGATGGGCAGAGGCTGCCCAGCCTCTGCTTGAACTGGACTCCATGCCTTCATTTGGCCCAGCCCAGCGAGTCTGCGCTCCCACATCCTGATTTCTCTTTCTTCTGTGCTGGAAAAGCTTGAAGGTGAATGCCGCCAGGTCAAACACATCCTCTTCCCTTCCTGGCCGGACCAGCAGACACCCGAGTCAGCCAAGCCCCTGCTGCACTTGGTGTCCAAGGTGGAGGACACTCTGCAGGCTGCAGCCATCCCAGGGCCCATCGTTGTGCACTGCAGGTAAGAGCTTTCCCCTCACCTAAGCCCATGTGTGTTCTTCACCTTGGGGTCAATCTGCAAATGCTGGAGAGGAAAATCCCACATGTGAATGCTCATAAGCTGGTCCTGCTGTGGTGCAGAAATCCCAGGGCACGGCATCCCCATAGCAGACTTGTTCAACCAGCAACTCCTGTCCTGGCATCAGGATGGTAGCATTACCACAGTGCATACTGCTCCGTAAAGAAATCTGGTTTGCACCTCGGTCTGCGGACAGCAAGGTGGGAGCAGGAGAGTTCTGCAAAGTCAGGACTCAGCCACCAGACCTGTGGCAGATCCACAGCTCAGGCTCCTGCTTCCTCTGCCACTGAGCATGGCCTGTGGCTTGGCTGTGAAGCTATTTTCCAGGGCAGGCCTCCTGGAAGAGGTGGCCTCTGCATATTTTCTCTCACTGCTGAGTGAATTTGGGGACAGCGGAGCAGAGCACCCAGTCATCTCTATGCAACACACTTGGTGTGCAATGCCGCAGGCTGGCCTGCCCCAGTGCAAACTGCTCAGTGCCTGGGGTGAGAGCACAGCTGGGAGGGGAGGTAAAGGGGCTGCAGAGACCCCTGCATTGTGCAGGGATGGGGGGCACAGACTGGTTTTGTGCTTCCAGCGCAGCCTCAGCTGGGCCGTGCAACATAGCAAGACCTCCTTGCTATGGCAGAATGACACCAGCCCATGTCTTTTGGTGCCTGGCTAAGAAAGTTGGTCTGGCAGCTAGCACCAGGACCCCAGCATCCATCTAGGAAGAAATCATGGCAGCAAACCAATCCAGGAGTATGTCCAGCTTGGACAGATTAAGGTCCAGGCACTGGATACTGTCAGTGCTCAGCACAGCCATCTCTGTCCCTCAGCGCAGGCATTGGCCGGACGGGCTGCTTTATCGCTACCAGGATTGGGTGCCAGCAGCTGAAGGACAAGGGGGAGGTTGATATCCTGGGAATTGTGTGCCGTCTCCGCATAGACAGGTGGGTACTCAGAGCAGGCGGCTCCTTGGAGGGTCCTGCTGGGTGCCAGGCCTGGGAGGAGGGATGTGGGAGGCATGTGGGGATGGGCATCATGAAGGGGCATGGGGACAGTTTTTGATAGAAACCAGAAGAGTTGCTGAAAGATGCAGATTTGTCAACAGCAAATGATTCCCCAGTGCCAGGCTGGTTTTCGTGTCAGGGCTGTTAGAGCTCTGGGGACCTGAGGACGTGAGTGAAAGGAGAGTGGCTCTGAACCTGACAGCCAGTCTGCCCCTTCCAGCTCAGCCACTAAATCCAGAAACACTCCATTTTGCCACTTTTCAAGAAGAACCAGTAAAAATTAGAGCCAAATCAGTTGCTAATCTGCATGTTGAACAGCCCAGCAGTGCTTCTGAGCCCAAATACTCTTTGGGCAGCTCTGGCGCCTGTTTCAGAGGTACCTGGACGTGGTGGGTGAAGCAGGAATATTTGTGCCCCAGGAGCAGGGAGCTGGCTATGGGGTTGTGGGCTTTGGTGAGGTTGTCAGTGGGACCTGCCTTTCCCTTGCAGAGGCGGGATGATCCAGACAAGCGAGCAGTACCAGTTCCTCCATCACACACTAGCTCTCTACGCTTCCCAGCTGCTGGAGGCAGGAGGCCACTAGTGCAGGGCTCCCACTGGGCTGCCAGCTCCTCACCCCGACCTCTCCTGCACCAGCCTCGGGGACACCTCCACCAAAACCCCTCCTGCTGCCACCGGGCCACAGAGCAGCAGCATGAGCATCCGTCAGGATGAGCACAGCCAAGAAAACCCACGGGGATTGTGGCCTTGTGACCCTGGGGATGAGCAAGGTTTGGCAGGTTCACATGAGGGATTCAGTGGGTGCTCGAGGTGGCCATTGCTGCTGGCTTGAGGCAGATTTCACCCACAGAAAGAAGCTTTGGCTTTTGAAACATGCAACTTTTTATCCTCAACCAGAAGAGCAAGCTGTGCAGAGGAACTGAAGCTGGGTGAGCACCGGGAGCACAGTTTACCTTTTAGCTGCACAGAAATGTTTACCCTGTTAGACACAGAGCTGGTAGAATTACCCTGCAAATAAACAGAGCCTCTCTCCTGACTGCGTATCGTCTGTGGGCAGAGGATGTGCTGCGTGCAGGGCTGGGCTTGCTCCGAACTTGTGCCATAATGCTCTTCTTCCTAAAGATACACCTTGATGATTTAGTACAAAAGGTGCACAGTTGGTTGCCTTCGTTACGTGGCTTGCTTTCCTCTCTATCTTCAGCCAACACCTTCTCAACAGCCTTAAAGTAAGGCAGGTTCCTAAGTGCGTTTGCAGTTTTGCAAGCAATGTGTTCCCAATGGCCTTTTGTTACATGAGGGTGGGGGTTTTGCATTCTTGTTTTTTTGCTGAAATCAGAACAAAATAATATTTGGGTTTCGCTGGGTTGTTTATTCACTGATAAATTCGGGGGGGGGGGAGAAGAGGGAGAAACATTTTGGCACAAAGCATGGAGTTGGAAATATTCTGTAAAATATTTTAAAGCTGTTCGAAACTGGCCTTCAGCTGACAGGTGTTGCACACACTCTTGGGCAGCGAGGACTGATAAGGAGCTGGGGGCTGCCTAGCCCGTGCCTGCCTGTGCCCACAAGCCCTGATGTGGCCTGCTTGGTGGTTGAGATCCAGGGAAAAAAGGGTCAGTCCTCCTGCTGAGAGAGTCTGAGCTTGCCTCGGCTCCCCGGGCATCCCCAGATCAGGGCTGTGTCCATGGATCCCCCTCCACCACTCCGTGGGTCCCCAAAATGCAGTTGAATGGCTGCCCAATGGTTTTGCCCTAGTGCCTGTTGTTCAGGCTCTGTGGCTCTCTTGGGAGGAGAAATGATTGAATGAAAAGAGAAGTTTTATCCTTAACTCTGCAGTTCTCCTGACTTGTCATCAGTCCAGGAGGGGCGTTCCTCTGGCCTGTGTCATCCCCCCCCAGTATCCCATCCTCACTGCTCCTCTCCTTGCTCCTAAAAGCAGCAAGTAAGCAAGTGAATCAGCCTTGTCCAGGGATGGGTAGTGGGCCAAAGTCAGCTGCTTCTCCTTAATCTCGCTGGGCATAAGTAGCAAACCCAGTGGCAGACCAGGCATGTCCCACTGTGCAAAAATACCCAATATTACAGAAATTATCATGTATTGCTGAGCCCTGGTAGTCCTTATTAGTTGTTCTCATGTGTTTGCAGACTCTCCGGATAAAGTACTTGCCAGGGCTCTTGCTATAGCACAATAAAGCCATGTTAAGCATCTGCTCGCTGCAAGGAGCAAATCCTTTTGCAGAAATGTCTCAGAGAGTGGATGGAAAAGTAACAGACAGTGAGAGACTCTCTGCTAGCACAGCCCCCTCCCATGGCACCAGGAATAAACCCACTCCCTGACCCCACAGCAGGAAAAAACCCAGATCTGAAGTAACGTCCTTCAGTCTACAGTGTCTGGATCTCCCCAGTGGAGCGATCTCCCCATATCTGCCACCAGGTCAATCCTTCCTCATGCCACTGAGCCTGCCCAGCCAACTGCTGCAGGGGGAACCTTGGTCTCTGCAGGGCTCCTGCCTCATGCCTGCGCTCTTGGAGAGACTGCAAAGCCTCCATGAGTCCCCTGAAGGTCAAAACATGGCTCAGGACTTTGGCCGCTCAGTTAATTTTATGTCACATTGTTGCCTTTGATGGTGTCTCTGAAGCCACTGCTAGAAGTTTTGAGTTCATCTAAGACAGGCTCTAATTCAGCTGGCCCACAGCATCCTCCTCCCCAAGTCTTTCCTCCCCACATTGCCATCAGGCAGGGGAACTTGAAGAGCCTGCAGGCTGTACCAAGGCACAGTATTTTCCTGTGCTCCCTGGACAGCAGGACATGCACCATTTTTCTCATGCTTTCAGTTTATTATCAACATGAGAGTTGTTAGGGCAGGCTTGCAGCAAGAGCTGCATTGAGGGTCTCTCAAGGCATGCAGGAGCAGCACTGGGACCAGCTGCTGGGCAGGGGGTGTTGTCACCCCCTCTCAGATTCCCCACCGGGTGCTGGGAGTTTTGCCAGTTCAGCTGTCTGATGCAGATTATGATCAGTTAAGCAGTTTTCCTGTCTTTCAATCTCAATTTCTACCAGCTCTATCTGTTCAAGACAGTTCTCAGGCCATTACGACTGCACTATCTGAGTATCTCTCCATGTCTCTATTTATTTCCCAAGCACTCCTCAGGGCTATGCTGGACTATTGCCTGTGTTATTGCAAAACCCCATCCCGCGGCTTACCTGATGTCAGGGGTGAAGCAGGGTGTTTGATCTGGTCTGGCTGTGTCAGGCTTATCCCTATGTCCTGAGAAACTGCTTTACCCTGTCCATAAAGAGCATGGGATGCCTAGTAGTCAAAGGAAAAGAATTGCTCCAAAATCTCATGTCTCCCCATGCCCCGGGCTGAGATTAAGCCCCTGAGCTTGGCCAGGGGTTTCAGCAGGGGCAAGATTGCTCCTGTTCCTCATTCCCCTCCCTTAAAAACCTGGTATAGACCCCGCTGTCTTTTTCCTTCTCATGGTGTTTCTGTGCTTTGCTGGAGGTGCAGCCCAGACAACCAGGCAGGGAGCTCTGGTACTGGAGGCCCTGGGCTGCAGACTCCTGCAAACCATGTCCCCAGGAGGCCAGGTCCTGCCCAGGGTTCAGGAAAAGTCCGTTCTCCACGTGACTGTAATTTTGGCCTGGGATTTCCCAGGCTGGTAAACCATTTCCCTACCCTTGCGACAACTCACCATGCTGGAGGTTGCCTAGGATGAGAGAAAAAAACATGGTGGCCACATGCTGCACATCACCGTAGCGACACGCACAGGCATTGCTGGTGGGAAGGAGACCCAAGGTGCTCCAAATTCTCTGCAGCTGATGGAGAGTGCCAGTGGGTTGCATGGTGTCCCCATCTAACATAGCACACCACAGCAGGCTGCAGCAGGGCACCGCTGCGGCCAGCTTCTTGGAAGAGCAGGGCATTGGGGTAGGATGTGCCAAAATCTAGCGGTTTGGGTATGCAATAACAGCTCTCCACTCAGATGAGCAATGTAACCACAGACGAGTCTCCAACAGCATTCTCACGGACTCCAAGTAATCAATGACCAAGCCATCACCCAAAAAGGAGAAATTTCAAGGCATGCTTTGACATTTCAAGGACAGCACTGGGGTCCCAGGAGCTCACAGAGGCCCCGTGAGAGCACTGGGAGCAGGTGGGACCCCGCAGAGGATGAGTTCCACCCAGCAGCACCTTACCCAGCACCAGAGGGACAGGCTGACCTGGTGGCTGGGAGCACCAGTGACACTGTGGGGTATGGGATTGGCATCTGTTCGTGCTGGTCTTTGGTAATCCAGTGGTTAAACCATGAGACAGGGGAACATGGAGAATGAGCCATCTGTTACCCACATTAGGACGGGCACAGCCCTGACAATTCAGTTTCTTTAAGGAACTTGGTTGAGCAACCACATCAAAACCTTCAGGGAATTTCAAATATGCTCTTGTCTGGAGAGGTCCTGGAGTGGTGCTGGCTCTTGCACAAGATGCTCTGCCCAGTCCCACACTCCTGGCATGGAGAGCATGGGGTGACAGCAGGGGCAACAACACTGTAGAGATGCAGCCATGCGGACCAGATCCAGCTTGTGCATCCCTGCATGTATCGCCACGGCTCCTCTGCAGGGAGCAGAGCTTGGGCTCCTCTGGTTCAAAGCAGCAGGAAACAACCAGATGTTTCCAAACCTGCCAGGGCTGGTGTGAGTCCCTTCCCTTGATGGGGATAAGGGAAATGGTGATGAGCAGAGGGGAGGCCGGTACATGAAAAGGGTCTTTTTTTCTCATTTGCTCATGTCTCTCCCCTCATGGGGATGGACTCGCCCAGCTCCCATCTCTGCTGTGAGGGGTGTGTTTTGTTTGAGCATTGGATGGACAGTTTGTCTGGCAGGGACTGCAGTAACACACGTGCTATCAGGAGGCAATCTCTGCTAACAACTTGAGTTCCACAGGCATTTTGGGTGGGAAGCCCCAAACTGGTGCAGGGAGACATTCCCTGGGCTGGAATCTGTTAAAAAAAAAGCCATCTTCAGGCAGAAATTACACACAAGAATCGGGGGACGATGAATTTTTCACTGGTATGAGGAGGAGCTACAATGGAGTAATTACAGAAAGCAGTGATATTCCTGTTTCCTTAGGCCTCCCTTTGAGAGCATGAGGATCTTTAGCAGTCTGCAGCATCTCTGAAAGCAAAATGTTTTTTGTCTCTGAAAACAAAGGCAGCTTCCCAGTGACTTACAGTACATGATGGAAACTCTTTCCCACCATTAATTGTTATAGGCTCTGAGACACCCACTGTGAGGCAGAGCCAACCACAGCTCAGTTTCTCTATTTTCTGTGTGCACACTTTTGTCTCAGGCAGCCAGGCAGCCCCACCAGTGAATTCAGCATCCTCATGTCTCATGGGAGCGTGAGCAACCTCCTCTGCATGTGGGCTTTCCCTAACAACTGCTAGAATAAAGGTCCTGCCTCTTCACCCCAGTGTAAGGGAATTGCAAATGCCCCTGTGTATCAGCCCTCACTTTAGGACTGGCTCAAATCCAGCCTGGATGTAAATGAGCCTGGTTGGCATCGCACAGCTGGCCAGGGCAGCCAGCAGCGGACTGCCCTGAGCACTCAGCATCAAGGTGGCAGGGCAAGGCAGAGTGAAAGCACAACCAGCACAAGTACCTAGAGTGCAGGAGCAGCTTGGCATCCCCTTGCAACTGGCTAAGCAAGAGAATGAGGGGGTTTTGAGGCTGCAGGGCCCAACCTGATCTCTAAAGGCTGGTGTTGCAGCAGGTTGTATAAACGTCTTACAGAAACATCCCTTGAGAAAGTTGTGCCTTTGAATTTTGTCTCATTCTGCATATGGAAAAGTGCTCATCAGCTCTTGTGACATCTCTCTGGAGTCCTGGCTCTGCAGAGGTCTTGTCTTGAGAAATCAAAGGGTAAAAATATGAAAGCACGTGCAGCCCATTACCTGGGGAAACTGAGGCCCGAGGGCAAAGTGCCAGGTCAAAGCCCAGCCTCCAAATCCACAAAACCAGTGACTGTCCCATCACTGAAAAGAAAACAGCAGGTGGACAAGGTCCCCTTTGTGCCCATGAGGTCCCCTCACACCACGGTGCACTTCTCATGGGGCTGGACCTCCAGGTCACCCTCATCCCACCCGTTAGTGTCCCCTGAGCCTCGGGACCTGGGGTCCCTGCTGGGACCTCACCCTTGCCACCACCGGTGTCACGCTGCCACATGGTCCTTTGGGAGCACCTAGCACTTCCGCACGGCCACTTTCACCAGCCCTGAGGAAGGGGCACCCATGGCAGAGGGGTGGTTCCTGCTGCACCACCCAAACTGCCTTGGCCCCTGGCCAGGCACTTTTTCTCCTGCCATGGCCATATCTCAGGCAGGTGATAACAGGTGGACCATGGCGTGGCCTGCAGAGGGGCTGGAGGGCAGGGGAGCAGCCCTATGGGCTGGCCTGCTGCGTGCACCGGCGAGCCCTGTGGGACCCCCAGGCACATGGGGGAGCTGGGGTCCAGGGGAAAAGACTTGTCAGGGTGCAGGATTGCATGGGTGCAGCTGGCATAGTTGGAGGGGGCAGGTGCCAGCTGCTGCAGAGGCTCTGTCCCAGAGTGCAGGATACACGCCAGCCCATGCAGGGTGCCAGACACGTGCTGCGTGGTGCAGGGGTTACTGGGTGCAAAAGAGCAGAGGGGCTAATCGGGGGGTGGGGGAGGCTGGGTGTGGAAGGTGCAGGACTCAGGAAGGTCAAGGGCTGCCGGGTGCGGGGCCAGTGCAGGGTGCAGTGGTGCAGGGTGCAGGGGTATTGGGGGTGCAGGGTGCAGTGGGTGCTGGGTGCAGAGGTGCCGGGAGCAGGGATGGTTTTGGTGCAGGCTGCAGGGGTACTGGGGGTGCAGGGTGTGCAGGTGTGCCAGGGGTGCAAGGCGTGTTGGAGCTGCTGGGTGGGGGGGCTGCAGGGCACAGGGGTCTGGGTGTGCATGGTGCAGGGGTCCAGGGTGCAATGGTGCTGGAGCTGCAAAAGTCCTGGGGTACTGAGGGTGCAGGGGTGCAGGGTGTAGGGGGTGATCGGTGCAGGGGAACTGGGGGCGCAAGGTGCAGGGGTGCTGGGGGTGGAGGGGTGCTGGGTGCAGGGTGTGCGGGGTACCGGGATGCAGAAGTGCTGGGTGCTGGGGGTGCAACGTGCAGGGGTGCAGGGTGCCCGGGGTGCAGGGGGTGCAGGGTGCAGGGGGTGCTGGGTGCAGGGGGTGC